ATCTATACAATTAAGCACAATAAGTATATATGAGATAAGGGTAACAAAACATTATGGAGTTACGTGAATAAGAAGCCACCCATCAGTAGCACTTAGCATGTTTATTATGTGATTACATAACTTGTTAGGATTAAATTAGATGATCAATACACCATTTCCTTTTCAGCCTGCGACGGGGATTTCCAGGAAGTGACGGGATATAATAAGAATCTTAATATAATATTATAACATATTATAATAAATTGTTTTTTTACTTTGCCTAAAAAAAATTGGTATTTTACATAACGCCTAGGTATTTCATAAAATACCTAGGTTATTTATAAAATAATATTGAAAATCATATGTTTTATTTACATTACCTAAAATGGGTCGGCAGTATACATAATGCCTAGGCATTTTTCAAAATACCTGAATTATTCATATTGCGGGTGACAGCTATAAATTATGGTAGACGATTGAGATAAAAATAATAACATATATTTTCTGGTTAATTAATTGCATTATTTAAATTTAATATAGGATAAATAAATTAAAAATGTAATGTTATAAAAATAAATCATAGGTATAACTATGAATTACCTATAAAAGGTATTAAGACGGAAAGAATTTTTTTAATGGAATGTTTTTGGGAGGAAACTTTGAACATAATATAATCATTAGGAAAAATCACAACTAAAGAACTACAATCATCGTTGTTCTTCATGAAATCATATAAGAACATGTTTGTTGATTGTTCAAAATAAAAACATAATCAATGGTCAATGCACATATATGTTGTCACATATCGGGTATCGATTTGTAGCCATGTAGCCATGTAGGTACACAATATTATCTATGGAGAAAGAAATGTCGGACGACAGCGCTACAAGAGCATGGCCCGAAAGTGCATATTTTAACTTTAATAATAGTTTTAATATTATGATATACTATGTAGATCCGGTCACTGTCCGGCGCAAACTGGATGCATCAATAGTTTTTAATGAGCTGAAATATGCAGGCCCGACCAAAATCAAGTTGGAAAGTCGTGATTTCACCGCAGGAATTGTAGTGCATCATTGTGACTTCAACTGGTGATACACCCGTCATCGCGGATTTAAACTAAGACGAACGCGCCGTTGCACCTGGCCAAGATGTCACTATTAACGACATCTACGTAATATTAATATATTCACATGTCATGTCCCGTCTTCTGCCTTGACCAAGTGTGCGGCCAAGTGTCAGCCATGTCGCTATGTCGCGACAGCCGTTTTTTTTATAGCATCACGTATTATTTTATTAATTGCACTGACGGTTTATGGCCATTTTTGTTACATGTCCGCCTTAGCAGTAAGTGTCATCTTAATTTCAATGTGCATTCGTATTTTGTTGTGGCACATTCCGCCTTGAGCGTCACTGCAGTGCTCCCGTCGAATTTATACATTTTATCAGCTTGTATGTGGTATGTCATGTTTGTTTGCGTTCCGTTTCGCTGTGTTCTTGCACGCCGTTGTTATGCAATGACAAGTAATCATTTCCGTCCACGCATCCCGTATACCATGGTTTAGTGGCATACTACTGTCGTGTTGCCTTTTCGTCCTTTTTCGAGTTGGCCACGCTGAACAGGAATACAGGATAGTCATGCCGTCATGGTTTATCGGCCCACTGAGTTTCATTAAATTATATATTTCCATACTCATGTTTGTACTCATTTCTCATTATCATAAAAAGAAAAAGTTACTCATAGCTGACCCACCGAGATTTCCTTGGCAGCTTGCCGATCCGACCATTGCCAGAATTGTTGAATGTCATACAATATATTCTTCGCTGCAGATGTATCCCGGGCGTTTTGTTTCATTCGAGAGTGCCAGCCTAATATCTGCCCGCGGATCACGATACATATTGTTACATACCTACAACATATTACATTTAATTATTTAAATATTGGTTAGTGGTTACATAAACGATAAACAAATTATTATATTACTATGAGACATTCCTTGCTCATGCGACGAACCGCGCGTTTTTGTTACCATATTTTTGAGGGCCACACTACACGCTCTTTGCCGACCACGATTGGATGACCGTGTTATTATATATTTATAATATTAAAATAGTGGTCCGTCCAAAGTTAGATTATAATATAATATCGCACATGCAGTAGGAAGTGCAATCGTGCATTATTTACGCTTGATCCTATTTTGTGTATTACAACGTGCCTTAGGGAAAATGCGGATCCAAGTCCCTCACCGGCATAGGCGTAACTGGGACTCTATTCACGTGGGGGCAAAAATAATTATTGACAATCTCTATAGTCTCTACACATTTTCATAATCTTATTTAAATTTAATATTTATTATAAAACTGTTTTATTATTTTTACCACCATTTTTCATTTGACTCATTTTAAGCAAACATTTTTTTATATACTTATACTATAAGTTTTATACCAAACAATAATAAAATTACTACTTTCTTTTTAAACCATAATTAACATTCATAATTATATAAAAATTAAAAAGAAACTTTATAGAAAACAACTTGTTTTAAGTTTTTATATTAAGTATATGTTACGGTCAAAGTGTCTAATTGGGCGTTGTAGTACAATGCCCGGACAATGTATACAATGCCAAATTTCAATGGACAATGTAGACAATTATACACTTTGCCCAAGCATTGCACAGAATGACCAGAGAACAGTGGGCAATTACAATGGTATAGAACAATTTTTGTTATCTTAATAATTTTAAATTATTTATTTTATGAATATTAACTATTTTTTTAATTTTCTTTTTGCAACTTAAGCTTTCATGACATTTATAAGTATATAGTTTAAGTGCACCCCTACACTTTCATTTATTTGTCTTGTATTGCTGTTTACAGTTACACCCAGGGTTGCCAACTATCCAGTTAAAAAAATCGGGACTTTTTTCCAATATGAGAACATTTTTTTCAGGTTTTAATATATTATAAAGGCATTCATTTCTAGCATAACATAATATTATAATATAAGATATATATATACATAATACGGATATATTTGCTTTCTATATGTATATACTTTATTATTATAAATTGTATAACAAACATAATGTTAATTATTAATTAATAAAATAATAATAATATAATATTTTAGACGGAATTTTTAATAAAAAAAAGTATTATAAATTATAAATTGTAAATTATTCATTTTTCCAATTGTATTTTTTCTGGCTCTTCACGGCATTCAAAAAAGCTGTATCATCTTTCACCAAGTTCACGAAATCAGTACAGGAACTATTTGTGGAAGGGCGGAAGGCAATATATTTAGTGTTATCATTAATTCATTTTTTATTAAGTCCACTGAACAACGATTACTAACATCTGTCCATTTTAGTTTCATCATCGAAAAAACCCTCTCTACATGAGAATTAGATGGTGGAATACTTAGAATAAATTCTAATAATATTCCAAAATTTTTTAATTTCTGAATTGATAAAAGTTCTAACCATTTTTCATAAACAGTTAAATTATTTTTTAAGCTAACAGTTGGTATAGCAGGCTTGATAATTGTAAATTCTTCAAATATTTCATCTAAAGAAATAACATCAACTAGTCCAAATACTTCAATTATTTTTGCAATATCTTGATAAAGTAACAAATTTGATTTTAAGCAAAGTGGTTCTAAAAATTTTAGTGGCGAATATTCATAATCAAAATGATTAGACAAATAAGTTAATGCAGTGTTGTAGAACATATCAAAGTCTTTTTTTATAGTATTTATATTAGATACTGATAATTTATTCTTACATGTGATGAAATTTGAGCCATAGAACTGTTCATTTATACGAGTTGAAATATTAGTTTTTAACTCATTCATAATATAAAATATCTCGGGGGAACTCGTCTCAGACTTTTGAAGTAATTTACTTGCTTTTTCAAACATAATAATAACATTGGCACAAAAATATAAGTAAATACTTGGTTTTTTAAATAAATGTTCAATTTCTGACTCGTCTTCTTCAAAAAATAAAAGTTTTGTTAATTGATTTGGACAGTCTTCGCCAAGAGATATAAAATAAGATATCAAGGCAGGATAAAACTTGAGAATTTTTTGGACAGCTGGGCCAATTGACAACCACCTAGTAGGACAATGTTTAACTAATTCTTGACATTCTAACTCAGCATACAAAACAAATTCTTTTAAATCTTCGCGTCTGGATGCTGATACAGAAAAATGTGCATATATTTTCAGCACCAAAGTTTCTACATCAAAATCGAGACCATCTAAAGCTTTTCGAAAAGTATTGAGCACTACGTGTGAAAAGCAACCCGACTTAAAAATATTCTTATTATGTGATTGTAAAAGTGTAAATGCTGATCTACGACACCCGAAATTAGAATTTGTGTTATCGGCACTAAATGCTGATACTTTTGACATATTAATATTATATTTTTCCAAAGTTGATAGAACTGAATTACTTATACCATCAGCAGTTTCGCAGGCTTGTTCAAAAAAATCTAATAATTTTATTTGACATCCAGTTTGCAGACAAAAATATTGAACTACAATTGGATACATTTTTCTATTTCCTTTATTAGATGTATCGGTAGCAACTGAAAAGTAAGAAATATTCTGTAAGGCATTAACTATAATTTCTTCTGCTTTCGGCCCAAGTAAATTTTGTACTATAGCTTCAGCTTTAGTACGACCACAAGATATTTTACTGGCTATATTTGAATCGGAAAATATTTTAGGAAGCAACTTAAAATCACAATCAAGAGAATTATAAGATAAGTTATGTTTTATATTATGAAAAATTTTAGAAACTTCCGCCAAATTAACTTATTGACTTTCCGAAGTATTTTTGGTAACAAAAAATGAATTTATTGTACATAATTGTTTACTAGAATTTTCTTTTTGTCTATGGAAAACGCTATTTGCATGGTGTTGCACATCAGATTTACCGCCATGAGTAATTAAAAAGTCTTTCTTACATAGCTTACAATTACCATACAAATTGTTATTTTCTGATTTTCTAAACCAAGTATATGAACTTAACCATACATCACGAAAAGTACAAAGACGTTTTACCTTTTTTGGTGGAGTATGAGTAATATTTTGTTCTTCAGAGTCACTCATTATTATATAACATATGCACACACAGTAACAGTACACCAATAAAAAGTACTTAAATCGAAAAATGCACGGACGAATATAAATAAGCTAAATACAATATTAATCGAACGAATTATTATACAATATACTAAGCACAAATTATACTGTCATCACATCACCGTAAGCACCGCGTAACTGAAGATGGCAATACAGCGTATTATACCATAATAATAAAACGCTATATTACTGATTACTATACAGATAAAATAAACATATCTACAATATACGTATATCTTGGTAATTTGTTAGATATTACAGTTATAAACAACTATAATGTTCAAATTCCATAGTATCTAAATATACTAATAGATTATTGCTATTTACTCAATAACGAATGAAGCATTTTGTCGTTGATTATAAATTGTTAAAGTTTTAACATTTATATAATTTATTGAAGAAAGAGATAAATTGGTAATTTCCTTATGTCCCAGGAAAAATATGTCCCGCATAAATTTTGATCGGGACGCGGGAAAAAATCTAAAAATCGTGAATGTCCCGCAAAAATCGGGACGGTTGGCAACCATGGTTACACCGGGCATATCCTTGACCGCCAAGATTTGAAAATTGTCTATAGGCATACTGAACATTTGTGTGTTAATAGTTTAAGTAAAACATATTTTGTTATAATATATACATAGTATTTACAAATTGTATTAGAAATAGTAGATAACATCGACTCCATTCGAAAAGAAGCCGGGCACCTTCTTCCTATCTGCTATATAACACGGATGGGTACTGGGCAGGTTAGCAGTATCCATCCGGTCCAACAATCTATGATTAGCAGCCAAGTCAGCATAAAAATCATCAGCATCAATGTTATACACTAGTGAATCTATAAAAATAATTATATTAAATTAATATAATATAAATGAGAACATTTTTAATATATTTACCTGTGTCAGTATCAGTGTTGTAAAGTATTTGAGTAAAAGTATTCAAATACTTTTTTTCCGTATTGAATACTTTTTAAAATACTTTTATTTTTGAAGTATTTGAACGGTATTTTAAATACATTTTTTTATTATTGAATATTATTTTATTGAATACTTTTTTTTATTCCTTTAATTCTTTATTCTTTATTCCTTGTCAAATAATAAAAATGTCACTATAAGAATATATATATTTATCATTTATGAACAATTGGATATCGATTTTGGTTTTCGTCTTTAGTTTAAATAAAACTAATTAATTAAATATCCTTAGCTTAACTAAATATTTTTTACTCCAGGAAACCGTCTGTTCGTCGACGAAGATCGCAACTGTACGTTATCGTCACCTACCAACATGTATTATAGCGAAATATTATACGAACATTAGGTGTGTCGTACCTGTACGGCCGTACGTGTGTACTGTGTATCGAGACAACATGGGCGACGGGCGTAAATCGATTCCGCCGATTTTACATCGATTCCGCCGGCTACTGTTTATCCCTCCCTAGTCCCTTGTAATTTGCAAATGTATTTTTAAAATTACAGTCCTACATAATATACTTTATAATATAAATATAAAATAATAATAATTGTATAATAATTAAAAACTAAAATGTATAGTCTAATTAATACGTGTATGTGAATATTTTATAAAATGTATAGTCTAAATTGCATAAAATAATAAAAATAAAACGAGTCAATATAGGTATTTTATTTTATTCCGTACGTATTGCTATAAAACGTATATTAACTACGCTACATATAAATGTCATATAACTATTCTGACTGAATCTTATCTTTAGATATGATATATCTTAATATCTATAATATCTATATTTATATATTTTATATTGTTAAAATGTGGACTTACCAATCTTTCCGTGTTACTTCTCGGCTAGTTAGTAGTGTTACCATTTTACTAATCAGTATCGATCTAGTTAACGAAATTGCTCCACCACGTTCATAGTGTCGCACACTCGTATTATTATATTTATTAAAGAGTATTACTTACTAGTTACTTATTAAAAATTGCAATGAATTTTAGTATAGTTTCTAGTGAAAGAAAAAAAGACTTAATTCTATATAATAATCATAAATATTATAAAAAAGACTATGTCAAACATTTAGATGCTTTTAAATGGCAGTGTATAAATAAAAAGTGTACTACAAGAATGTATGTCAATCAAGCCACAAATCAAATATTAAAAGATGAAAGTATTCATAATGTCAACCATAGCGAAGAAACAAGTAAGAGTATTATAAAAAAATAATTTTCAAATGGACTTAAACGAAAATCGGAAGACGAATTAGAAAGGACTTCAAAAATCATTAATAGAGGCATTTTAAATAATCCAGAAATGACGAACACTTTTACAAGTACAGATATTAATAACATTTATTAATGTTTATACCGTTCTCGTAGATCATCATACCCTAAACTCCCAACAAATCTTACGGAAGTAATAAATGTAATGAGCGAGCGCCAAGTTCGGATAACAAAATTATTTGTTTTTCAACAAACTCAAATCTAAAATTATTATGTTGAGTAGATAAAATATTTATGGATGGTACTTTTACGTACTGTGCAAAATATTTTCTCCAGCTTTTTACCATCCACATTTTTAAGAACGGACATTATGTTCTGCTTGTGTACTTTTTACTACCCGACAAATGTAAAGACACATATTATGCGCGATCGTTAGGTTATATTATTGGAAAATGTTCAGAAATAAATTTTTTGTTCAGTCCATCGAAAATAGTTTCCGATTTTGAAAAAGCTATCCATATTGGTGCAAAAGTAATTTGGCCAGAAATACAGATTGTTGGATGCCGATTTCATTTGACGCAAAATTGGTGGAAACACATTCAAAGTCTTGGTAAATATATATTTGAATACACATACAAAAATATTATAAATATGATTTTTGTATTGTTTATTATTAATATTAATTTATTTTTTTTTAGGTTTATCAAAAGAATATAAAGACGAATCAAATGAAATAGATAATTGGCTAAAATTGGTATTCGGATTACCATTATTAAATTCGGAAGAAGTAAGCGATTGTTTTACAACAGATTTGATGTCAATTGCGAATTGCTCCAGATGATGAAAGGGTAGTTCTGCGATTATTTAGTTGATTATATTATATTGACGAAGGAGCAAAATTCAATCCACGCATTTGGGCATCAACGGAAATAACATCGGAACGTACTACCAATAGCTGTGAGTCTTTTCACTCAAAATTAAATTCACAATTCACAAAAGTGCATCCCAACATTTTATATTTACACATGTTTTAAATACAAAAATACAAACTGACACTTACATACACATAAATGGAATTAATATAAATACAATTAGTAAAAATAGTGCATTTAACAAAAAGAAACAAAATATTAAAAAATTATCAAACGATTTAAACAATAATACAATTTCTAAGATTACTTATTTAAAACATGTGTCCGAATATTACCAAAAGTAGTTCCATTTATATTATATTTATTTTAATTAGATTATACATTTTAATTTTGAATTATACATTTATACAATAATTATTATCATTTTATACAATTCAAACTATACATTTTAATATTTTATCATTTATTCACATACTTACACGAATTAATTAGAATATACATTTTATTTTTGAATTATACAATCATTATTTTTTTATTCTTATTATGAATTATGTATTTTAAAATACATATACAGGGGGGGGGATAAACAGTGTCTGGCGGAATCGATGTGTAATATTATAAACAGTAGACGGCGGAATCGATACAAACCTTTTTTCAAAACAGATAGTTTCGACGGAATCAATAATTACTTGACAACATAATATGCAGGTGCGACCTATTCTTAATTAAAAGCTATAAATATATTATAAAACATAAACATTGATATTGACTGATAACGGAATCTGCTATAAATAAATGAATATGGCTACAGCACCATAATAATATGTGGAACATACTCAACATGTTATTATCTTATTTTCATAATTGCATTAGAAAATAATATTATTATTTATTTTTGTGTGTACGGACTACGAATAACCAATTGCCAATTGGTCATTAGACATTACTNGTATGGTCATTATCAGGGGCGGATTGGAAAATTTTTTTGGCTCGGTAAATAAGAATCAAACCGGCCCATTCATCGGAAATTTAACTCCTATCCCCCCTATCTTTCCCCTTACCAAAAAATGCATAGTTTTACTTAAATTTCAAAATGAATTTAGTTTCACCCTTAAATTAGTAAAATATATAATAGGTACCTACGTTTTAGCTACTTATGTCTTATACCAGTTGTGTTTACTTGACAACATAATATGCAGGTGCGACCTATTCTTAATTAAAAGCTATAAATATATTATAAAACATAAACATTGATATTGACTGATAACGGAATCTGCTATAAATAAATGAATATGGCTATAGCACCATAATAATATGTGGAACATACTCAACATGTTATTATCTTATTTTCATAATTTTATTAGAAAATAATATTATTTTTGTGTGTACGGACTACGAATAACCAATTGCCAATTGGTCATTACTCATTAGACATTACTCATTAGCGTACAATCAGTTATACTATTACAATATTGCATGTATAGCCCCCTACGCTGTTTACACTATTGTAATATTTATTACTTGGGTAATGGGTTTGTATTATTCGTATCGAGTTCGCTGTTGTCTGCTTGACGTTCCTCAGATTGTTAATAATTGTATTGCATCAACAGTATACTCTTGTTTTCATTGTTTAAATAGTAACACAATGAGTGATTGTGATTCTTCAACCGAAGTCGATCAGGTTGCAGATTTAGAAGAACCAATTTTACTCCGGCCAAATTATCAAAAATATTTTAAAGTATTACGAGTCATTGAAGAAAATTTTTTTTACAAGAAGCTGAAAGTGAAGTGTTTAAGTTGTGTCGATACAAAGTGTTACAAGGTGGATTCACGTTCAAACTCTAATAAAAGAAAACATTCAAGCGTAAGTACAATGTTAATTTTATACCTGCCTATGACAGTTGACCCATCTAATATCTTGTGTGTTAAATTAATTTTAAATACCACACAAATACCTAATAAATTACAAAAATACATCAAAAACAGTGGCGCACAGCTTTTTAAAATTCAAATTTCAAGTGCTTAAGATGTATCATAGATCTCATTATTCTATATTATGTATTTTCCTGGGCCCCCACATGAGTCATCTCAGAGGGGCCCAGTATTCTTGTGTATATGAAATAAAATAAAATAAATAACCCCCTCCCCCCTCAAAAATAAATCCCAGTTGCGCCACTGATCGAAAAGTGTAAATTATTTATCAAAACTTATAATGTTAAGTAAAAGGTTATATAATTTCATTTTTTATACAGATACAACATTCAACTCTATTAAAGAAAATTGATCACATTGATAATGCAGCGAACAAAAACACTTTAAAGAGATGCAATGATGGATCATTGAAGTATAATGTTGGTAGTTCTCTAAAACAAACAGATAAAAATAACCAGACAAAACAACCAGTTTTAGAAGATTTTTTGAACAACAAAAAATTAACTAGTCAAAGTAGGAATGTGTAATGTTCATTTTTATTTTTTGTTTTACCTATTAAAAAGTTTTTAATTGCAGGTTAGGTTGATATTTACATGACTACATGACTATATACTGATACATTGCTAGTGAACGATACGGTTGTTAATGATTTAGAAGAAATAGAAGCATTAAACTTGAACATTCTAAATGATGAAGACCATGATTTGCCATATGCATTATCAAAACACCATTGATGTTGTGCACACACAATAAATTTAATAGCAACAATGGTAATTAAACATATTTAAGTAGATAATCTAATATAGTTAAATTATAAAATACTAAAAATATTTTTATCAAAAAGAATATATTTTGAGCAAGTATAGTGATCAGGACAAAACTATTAAGTAGTAGGTTTAACACTTAATACTCATAATCAAATTTTTATGAGTTGTAATACATTTAAAAATTAAATTTTTCTTTCAATTTAAATGATAAAAATATATGAAAAAAAATATTCTAATATATAAGTATGAATATTATTGGCAATAACTATTTTCGATTTATCTATACCCAAATTGAAATTTTAAATATCAATAAATTATGTTTGTTTAATTTTGTATTATTAATTACTAATTTGTACAAATTTAATACAAAATAAGATAATTTATTTGTATAACTTGTTTTTTCTAGGACTCTAAAAAAGCTTTGTCTAATCTTGCATACAAAAAACAGTCAAGAAGAACTATTGCCAAGTCTACCGCTTTGTGAAACAAACAAGGTCGCTCAACTAAGTCAGCTGATTTATTCAAACAAAGTCTGGGTGTTTATTTAATTGCACCCAACAAAACATTTTGGAATTCACTGTTTGAAGCAATGGTGCTGCTTAATAAATTAACTAAAAAAAATGAACTTAAGTTTAGAATAATAATGGACAATTTGGCTATTGGCAGGTAAATTGTAAATCTTAAAAAATTATTAATTATTTTATCTATGATTTTTATGCATTTTTTCAGATTTGATAGAAGTGATATTGATTTCGTGTGTCAACATCAAACAATTATGGGGCCAATTTCAATAAGCTTGGATTTATTTAAGAGGTTGATTGCATAATTTATCCACTATCAAAAAAGTAAGATTAGTTGAAAACTTCTTAAACTATTAGTAATAATATTACATAAACATTTGTACTTAGTTTTCAGGTGTTTTTGAAGTACAACACTCCACTACCTAGCTGTGCACCAGTAAAGAGGGTGTTTAGTGTTGGTGATGCAACAATACAAAAAAAAGAACAAATATGACGGACCAATATTTTAAACAAATAATGTTCTTAAAATACAACACTCAAATGTTAGATTAATATAATATATTATGAATGATTCAGAATTAAATTGATTTATTTGTTTTGTATTTGAAAATAATTTCAAATACTTTACTATAGAAAGTTTTTCTGTGGTATTTTCAATACTTTATTGTATAAGTATTTGAGTAATTACTCAAATGCTTTTTAATAAAACATATATGTATTAATATATATATAGTATATACATATATGTATAAACATAAAATGTTAAGTATATTTACCAATATAGATAGGTTTATCAAATTTAATAATCTTGTTCTCTTGATTGACTGCTTTAGGTTATCAGTTATCACTGTTATTGGTACTGCGTTTAAAAGTGGACTTATAAATTAACTTCTTGTATAGCCCTTGGTATAGCCCATTGTAGGTAAACAAGGGAGAAAATAATAAAAAAATCACAATATACTATGTAATATTATGTAGGTTTTTTTATTTGTTAAAAATCCATGAATTACTTTTTGAAGTCTATAAAATTAATATAGTATTTTGTGGTTTTCAGTTCAAATGGGTCTTCTGTTGTTCATTTTTATACCAATTTTTTAGAGCTATGCCAGCACATAAACTGTTATTCTTGTGGATTTAGTTTTAGGAGACAAAATCCGGATAACATATATGATAAATGTTATTATTTGTACGAAGAAAAGTGTCAAGCTGAAGACTTTGCTTAAATATCATTAAAACATAATGTAGGTATCTGCTGTATAAAAATTAATACTGTATTGTAATGGTGTTAACTGTTAAGTTAATGTATTAGATGATGCTGATCCAATACAGCTAAATAAAAAAATCCAAGCACTGCAAGTACTTTTAAATTTACCAATAGCTATAATGTAGAAATATTTTATTTATTGTTTATTTGCATGTTTAGCTAAATAAAGGTGACAAAACAGATCAAACGGTATGAGACAGGTTTTAAACTTCTTATAAAAATAAAAATAAAAATAAAAAAAAAACATTGATAATTTCTACTTATTATCATACATTTACATTAGAGTCAATTACTGTTGTTGATAAAATATACCAACAAATTTTTGGTTTTATTTTCTATAAGCCAAGTATTCAAACGTCATTTGTTTTTTTTTTGGAAATATTTGTCTTCAAGTTAGATAAAGCCGATAAAGGTATTCATCTCGTTAATAACAATTAACTTCAGCTACTTTTGACAGTTGATGTATAAAAACTTACTATTTTATAAAACTAAATTATACAATAATCCCACAAATAAATAAATAAATATTACAAATAACACATAATAGTTTAACCGTTAAGACTAAAAACAATATTGCTAGATGCCGGACGTAAAAATTGACTCGGGACAGTAGTGTATCTAAAAATCTAAATGGCCTATACTCAGAGTGCCGTGTTCTGCATTGTATAGATTTAAACACTCCCAATAATATTCTGTTTCGCAATTTGAAATAAAAAATGTATCGTGTGATCCAAAGAAGTCAAAAACTCAAAAACTGATGACAACATATTATATTATAATACCTATCATCTATGGCAAAAGCCGATCGTCGTCACTCACCGAAGACGATTCGCAATTCTAATAATTTCATTGATCAAAAGAGAAATGTGTATGGCAACTATAAACTTTTACTCACTTATTTCATTCTACTCAAGTAATTTTTATAAAAAATCTCGATTTTTTCAATTCGGATTTAGATGAAGGAAGAAGTTGCTCGATATGGCGCCTTACAACTATATATTAGGTACCCGAAGAGTCGATGTATACGTAAGTTTGATTACTTATTCTTTTGGGGCTTAAATATTTTACTTTTTAGTCTCAAAATTAAAATTTGATTTGTGAAGTATTTACCCGTGTGAAGTAGGGGCATATTTTTTGTTCCCGAGCGCGCAACACAAAAAATACGGTATCAGTGTATCACAAACGACGACGGCATATCCATATTATCCAGTTCGCAGAATAATAACATTTATAAAATTAAAAAGATATAAATAGTGTTGTACATACTAGTCATAATACAGTAGTACACGGGAGTTTTTATGTCCTGCAAAATTCAACAATTTTTATTTTTAGTTTATATAAATGTTAAGTAATATATGAATATTACTATGCCGTCTGCTTATGGTCGAACCGCGAATTAAAGTGACGCCGTCGTACATCAAACATCAAATTATGTTATAAATCTGGGAAAGTCGCTCTGCTGATTATTGAATATCCATCGGAAATTAAATAAGGAAATTTTAAAATTTAAATATTCTCGAATAGCTTAAAGTATACCTAACCAATGCACTCAAAATGAATACATAAAATATTAATTATTAATTTCGTGCTCGACAGTATTCAGAGAAAAGATTTAGGAACTTAGAATTTTACAAATTATGGTTGGTTAGTCGGTATACGGTAAATGTGATGTATTAGGCACTGAATACCTTTTTGTTAAATCTAAAAAGTAGTAATTACATTTATTTACAATAAGATTTTTATTTAATAACTCATGAAAAAATATGCTTGTACTTCGAATATTTAAACACCACCTTTATCAATTATTAAATTAAAAATTAAAATAATAGGTACTTTATATATTGTTGTTATTTA